TAAAAACCACCGATGTAAAGTTTCCACCGAGAGTTTTCTCTGGACAAAACTGGTCTGCCAACCAAGAGAGAGAGAGAGAGACAGAGAGAGAGAGAGAGAGAGAATGAGAGATAGGAAGGGAAGGGGAGGGAGCATACGAGGGTTGTCGACGGAGTGGCGTCAGCTTGCGTAACTATCGGTAATTAATCAGAATCATCCTCGTATATCGTATCCGTTGGCGTGGGTGGGTGACGGTGACACTGATGGTGGTACTGGTGGTAGTATTAGTATAGGCTAGTGGTAGTGATACTGATGGTTATGGCAATGGTAGTGGTGCTGACGACGATGCTACTGCTGGACCGTGCCGATTCTGTCGGAGCTTACGGCTAGGAGGAGGAGGATGAGGATGAGGATGAGGAGGAGGAGGAGGAAAGGGGTAGTTAACCAGTGACGTCACGCTCACGGCGACATCTGGCTCGGCACTAACCACCGGACGACACTGCAGGACACTGGACACTACCCAACCACCTCTTACGCTAACTCCGAATCAAAATTACCCTTACTGGAGATACCAGAGCCTATGAGAGAGAGAAAGAACCCGCACACACACCGGCTGCTTCCAATTAATTCTACCTTTGACACGTATCACCCGATCCTTCGTCGTCAAACTTCAAAATACTACTGCGTACTTTGTTAAAGTTTAACTATATGGAGGAATACTGTAGACGTTACGTAGTTTCTTACAAAATAATCTTTATTTTGAGCTTTCAATGTGAACAATTATGTGTACGAGAAATTACGTAGGACAAATTATTTCTTAAAAGTACTATAACGTTTGTCCGAAAATAAATGATTATTCATAATCTATAATATTATAACGAGTTCGTGGATATTTTTGATAAGCTTTTCTATTTCAGATGACAATTAAAACGAAACCGGCTCAGATACTTCGGGACAACACTCTTGCCTCCCGCCATCACCCCCTTACCCTCGCGTGTAAAGCCGGATTTGCGTACGTCCCTCTACCAACGTGGCTATCAATTGCGGCTAATCCTTCGTAGAGATAGCGGAGAAACTGTTGTCTCTATGAGTTCCAAACGAACATTCGACAATTCTTTCATCATTAATAGGATAGATAAACGAATGAATTTCTATAAACAATCGTTATTCGTAAGATAAACTGAAGACGATGATTTTGCTATTGAATACAATTATTTTCAAGTATCGAAGAATAAATTATTATAGTAGTAAGTTTAATACGGACGATGGACATTTCGTGTCCAGCCAAACCGCAGAAGCGGTCATGTATATTAGATACCCAATTCCGGCGGTAATCCAGCCATAAATATCTTTGAATTATATTTTCCAACGAGTTGGACGCCACCACGGACGATTTGCTCTAGGTAGCGCGCGACCATGTTTGGGGAAACGCTGAAATTGGGGAAAAGCGTGTGTGTGTGTGTGTAAGTGGTCTATAGGTTTATATATACACATATGAAAGAGAGAGAGAGAGGAGAGACCAAGCGGGCTATTTAGCTGTTAATCGCTCAATTAAATTGGATCGCTCGTATTAGCTTTTAATCCCAGCGCATCGCACTGTTGGTGTGCTATCGCGAACGTTGCGAGTCCGTCGTTTTCCCGAAAAATCAAAATGAAATTTCGCTTCGAACTCGAACCGCGGAGGATCGTCTCGGATAACGTCGAATTCGAGCCAACGTGATTCCGTTTACCTCTCGCTCACTTGTTACCACCTATGTATAGGTATACGTGTGCCACGTACGTGTGCGCGTGTAAAAGAAATGGAAATAAAATTCATTTCTATTTTCGAATATCGTCGCTGTACTATAATATATATA